TCAATCCTACTTGGTACAAAAGGTTTTAAAAACAAAATAGTGAATATAGAGACATTAAAATTAGAGTTGTAGGGAAAGATGGGGATTTAACCAAAATTCCCTAGCTGTAAATAAGCGAGGCTAAGGTCATTGTTATCTGTCAGGGCTCTACAGAAAGGTAGACCTTGGGCATAAAGTTGTACCAGAAGGGCTTCAGCTGGCCAGAGTACAGCCCTGAAAGGGTTATGACTTATTCCTCATGGCACTTTCACCCCTTTGCTTCAATTGCATCCTCATATTAGACCTTTACTTGGTCAGGGTTAGGGTCTTTTTGTGTCTGTCACTACTGACTCTGGTTCTCTGGGCAAGAATGATCATCTTCTACTCCATAGAACTATGTGCGTAGCCTGTCTTTGGGCTTATGATATTTGGCTGAAGGAAAGCAAAGATGAGAACTTTTCTAATTCAACTTTTGCTTGTTTGCCGTCTTCTCCCTCCTTTTGTCTCTTGATCTGCTAACCCAGATAACTGCTTTGTCCCATCCGGATTTAATCATTGAAAGGAGCCAATCAGACTCAGAGACTCAGTGCCATTGTTGGAATCAACTTGCTCTTGATCTCAGATTTCCACTTTCTGTGCCACCTGGGTACCCTCGTGGACAAATCACGTCATTCTTTCCCAGTCCATCTCCTTTATGGGAACAGGCACTTAGGGAAAACAGGGTAACCCAGTAGTAGAGGCTCTGGTTCGGGAGTCAGACGATCTGAGTACAGGACCTTCGTGTTGCTGTGAACTGTGTCACTGAGCAGTCAGGATGGGAGTCAGTGCCAGAGTCTTGATAGATGCTTTGCAAAAGTTTATTAGCTGATTGACTAGGACAAATTCTCAGGTCTAGTTTCTTTAATTGAGAATAGAAATGGCTTTCGTACTTCGTTACTATAAAGCTTTACTAAAAATAAATATATTATGAAGCTTGTTTCTTGGACAACAAGAAATAGATATATAATGTGTTAAATGGGGCTGATTTGTAAACTATTGGGTGGTTGAGATGGTATCTCAGGTGCCTGCTAACTCCGTGCATGTCAGGCTCTGTGAGAAAGGGCACAGCTTGGTTGCAGCTGTGCTATGGGAGGATGTAATTACATCTGTTTTATCTGCTGAGTGATGTCTTAGATTCCAGAAGCTTTGTTCACTGTTGGCATCTCTAGGCATTTTTCCTCCTTTCTCTATGTGATCTTACTTACAGACTTAAGTAAATTAGATAATTTGGTCCTGAACAAAGTTAGTGAGAAGATAAGGCTGTTATTATATCTATACTTTGTAGCTGAGGAAACTGTGGTTTAGAGAAGTTACATGATTTTTCCAAAATTGTGTAGCAAGTAAATGCCTTCTCTCTATACCTTGCTTCCTCTTCTCCATGCTTCAGCTTCTAAATTGTGAGTATAAAATGAGGAAATATCACCTGAAGATGTTTGAGGACTCTACCATCCTAATCTGAAATCAGTTAATCAGATATTTATTTTGGAACTAGAAGGATTGTACTAACTCCAATGGTGTAAATTGAGTACATGCGAAGCACTGCGGAAGAAATAATATAAAACCTCTGCCATCAAATAGTTTATTTATTCTCTAGAAGTTGAATGCTGACACTAGATGTCTAGTTTTATGGAGGAGAAGATATCATATAAGTGGAGGTGGATTAGGGGAGACAGGAATCTGAGAATATTGAAGGTCAAGGTGAGGTCCAAGCAATGAGCACAAAACTCCGACTAGTGTCTATTAGGAAATGATTGATTATAGGAGTTTGGCAAGGGCAGGGGAGCATTGGGTCCAGCTTTAAGGGCTCTGTATGTCTGGGTTGCTGACTGAGAGGCCCTGGTTAAGGGGTGAGATTTCTTTTAAGGCTAGGAGTCAGTGCTTCTCTGAAGAATGCAGCACAGGAGACTGAAGGGTAAGGCTAGGAGTGCTTCAGGAACGGAGGGAGAGAACTGGCGACTGGTAGGACAGGCCAGGATCACCACTGAGACTGCCTGGGGGAGGTGGGTGCATCACAGCCCCCGGTGGTTAACTTAGCAGTTGCTGTGACAAGCATATCAGCCGTTTCCGTCCCTCCTCTTCTTTAATAGGCAGCTGAAATTTATAGAAACTCTTATTTTCCTGCGTCTTCTGTCCTCCGAGGGGGCAATGTAAAGGGGCTGCTGTCTGTGCACTGGTCCTTGTGTGAGCTTGTGTGTATGCACGTGTGTGCACAGACACACACACTCATCGCAGTCATTCTTAAGCCATCAGAAAGGATTTTTGTGTTCTCATAACATGGGAATGCTGACTTGGTCCTGGTCTGCTGTTCTTTGTGCTATTTTCAAGAGCTAAGCAAATAAAATGGAGGAAAACCATTTGGAGCAGTAACTACGAGTCATTTAGTTCTGGGCCCCCTGTGATTGTAATTCATGCATATGTCTTGTTCTCTGGGTTTTTACATTCTGAGGTAAAGCTGAATTAACACTAACACATTTTTCTGAAGCCATACCTGTTTGTCCTTTTTGTTTGTGCGAATGAAGCAGTCCATCAAGTATGGAATTAGATTAATGGAGTAAATATTATGAATCATCCACTCTCCCTCATCTGATGCTCTTTCTTCTTCTTTTGACCTCATGTTTTGTTTTCTGTCTGTCTTTCTCTCTCCGCATAGGCTTTCAGTCCAGTGTAAAGCTGTTGGCGCGAGGGAGCAAAGGTAAAGAATGATGTAATCCACTGGCTGCCCCAAAGCATCTTTTGTTGTGGAATGGTTATTCCAGTCATCTCTTTATGAATCAAATGTGAGGGGCTGCTTTGTGGACGGAGTCCTTTGCGAGAGAGCACATCAACGGCAAAGAGAAAGAGACATTCACTTGGAGGGCTCTCGCTGAAAATGGGTTTAACTCTCCTTCTGCCAGTCACTACCAGCCTGACCTCATACATTTTTAGTACAATGGAGTGGCTGAGCCTTTGAGCACCCCACCATTACATCATCGTGGCAAATTAAAGAAGGAGGTGGAAAAAGAGGACTTATTGTTGTCATGGCCCATGAGATGATTGGAACTCAAATTGTTACTGAGAGGTTGGTGGCTCTGCTGGAAAGTGGAACGGAAAAAGTGCTGCTAATTGATAGCCGGCCATTTGTGGAATACAATACATCCCACATTTTGGAAGCCATTAATATCAACTGCTCCAAGCTTATGAAGCGAAGGTTGCAACAGGACAAAGTGTTAATTACAGAGCTCATCCAGCATTCAGCGAAACATAAGGTAAATAAATGCTTTCTTCTTTGCCTTTTTTAAAATAAAGGGACACATTGAATGGGGAATAATTTTAATTGAAGCCCTTGTTTTTAAGTGGAGAAAGTAATTTGAAGAAGTTTTGGTCGCTTTTTAAATTTTAGTACCTTGTGGTACCTTAAAATAATTTACTAACCATAATGGCACATTTAAGAATATTTCTAAACTATACAGAAGTGCTAACTTCCTTGTTTGTATAGGTCCTATGTTTTCCTATTAATGGCTGAACTAAGTTTATTTTATCAATCTAAACATTATTTCATATTATCTACAAATTGACCAAAAGGAATGTCATCTTCTTCGAGTGCTTTGGAGAAAAAGTAGGGACCAGTGATAAGTGGTACATTTTATGTGTGGTGTCATTGGTCAACACTCGAGGATATTATCTTCAAGGAAACTTATTCCTGGAATACCAAAATGTCTTCTGTTTGGCAGGGAAGGCTATTTCTTCAGAAATAAAAATGAGCTCACATTTTAATTCTGATAAATAATTTCTTTGTTATTTTGCAGAAACCATTTTTAAATGTTTCTTTAGGTTGAGATTGTTAGCTTGTTTTGCATTTTACTTGGTGTATGAACTTTACCCTTTTATAGTGTTAAGAATTTAAGACAAAGGAGTTTGGTGCACATCTGCACAGAAATCATAATTGTACCTTTTAAGAATTGATTTTTATAAGCCTTTAAACCATTTGTATGCTACCTTTATCCAGTAAGTTGACTTCATCTCATTTTCATTCAAATTATGAATCGAAACTAAGAAGTATTTATTTGCTTCTGTGCCAGTAAATGTGAGATCCTTCTTAGCCAGTGGTTTATGGAGAGTATCTTCCTCACCTTCTTTCCTAATAAGCCTCACGTTTGCATTTCAGGTTGACATTGATTGCAGCCAGAAGGTTGTAGTTTATGATGAAAGCTCACAAGATGTGAACTCTCTGTCTTCAGATTGTTTTCTCACTGTACTTCTGGGTAAACTGGAGAAGAGCTTCAACTCCGTTCACCTGCTTGCAGGTAAGGCTTGTGATAGAATTAAAAGGACTTGGATCCCACTGAGCTGTAGGAGTGAGCAGTATTTATTTCACAGTGAGCTCAAAGTGCAGCACATCATCCCAACTGTGCACAACTTTCTGTCCCAGTCATTTTACAACTTTGTGTGTACAATGATTTGTTTATAGCTTTTGATTGATGTAAGTGTTCTATTTAACTTGAATACTGTCATTCTTCCATGTTAGTGTGTTTTTGACTTAGCTCAAGTGCCTCTTCACTTGCTGTTTTTTAGCTAGAAGTGCCACATAGATCTGTCTGCCCATACAGATAGCTCAGGCCAGCTGCTTCTGTCCAAGGACTTTTCCTTTCACCTGTGATTCAGGAACACCAAATGATCTACATCTCAGCTCCTGCTTAGTTCCCACCACTGTGGAAAGAACCAGAACAGTATTGCAGTGTGAAATCCCACCCCCGTGGAAAGAACCAGAACGGTATTACAGTGTTAAACTCCTATGAAACATTTGTAAAGTGGACTTCAGAGATGAGGTCACCTTTTAGGCATTATGAACAGTGACATAGGGAGAGAATGTGTATAGAATGTTTCTTTTTTCTTCCAGTGCCTTTTTTTTTTTAAGTTTCTTCTAATAATTAGACTATTTTAAAGCATAATTACTTCTCCGTACCTTTTTTCCCCTTTTATTAAATTTATTAAATCGTATGCACAAAAATATGGAACGCTTCACAAATTTGCCTGTCATCCTTGCACAGGGGCCATGTTAATCTTCTCTGTATCGTTCCAATTTTACGTATACGTGCTGCCGAAGTGAGCACCACTTGTGGATTCTTATTTGCTTCGTTTTCACAATTGAAAAAGAAAGTCTCAACTTATTGCTAAGCAACCAGATGATTTTATAAAGTACATGAAAAGGACCAAATATTTTCTATCTGCCCTGATGAGGCACTGTGTAGGAGTTCCATCTCATTTAATTCCAAAGCAAATTGTTCATTCTTTGCTTCCCCTGTTTTGCAAGTGAAAATCCTTTCTCCTGCCCTGACCCACGGAGCTGGAAATAAAGTTTGACAGTGCGTAGTAACCTTAACCTAAAGCTGCTCTGTCGGGTAGATTCAGCCACAATGACATAAAAGTGCTTTTAAAAATTTGATCTAAGAAAAACGAAATATTGATATTCACACCTGTAGTATCTTGTTGCATGGAGGGTATAGGGAACTTGATGTTATTGGCAATAGTTAGAAGTATAAACATTTCAGTTTTAAGAGAATGGAATTAAATCAGTGGTTGGTGTGTTAACACTTTTAAAACTCTGTGCAGATTTTAATAAGATTTCCATGTCTCCAGTTTTCTCTCACAAGCTTTTGCTTCAGTTCTCTAAGAACTAGGGTAGTTTCCAGTCTCTTTCAGATCCTCTTTTACCTGTACCATTCTTTCATTTATGCTGTGATTCTGTCTGATCTTTCTGTTAACGTCCTTAAGTGAGGCCAGCTTATCTTAGAATGTAGTTGTCAGAATTTTGTAACTGGGAATGAGAGATATTCTATCTCTGTTGATAAGCACAACCTCTTACTGGAAGTATAATTGTGTTAAATGTAACAACTGTTATTAGAGTTCCTCCGAAGTGATTTGGTGAGTATAGGAACTTATCTCATTTTTCTTGTAGCCACTATGTGAGGCACCTTGGAATCCTATCAGTGGGATCAGAGTTTTTCTTAAAGAGGCTATACACTAAGATGTGCTTCATGACAGAGTGGTTATCCCACCCATTCCTGTTTCAAATGCTTTTTTCCTGTAGGGGGCTCTGACTTGATAGCTTGGCCAAGCATATAACCCCTGCAGAGGAATTAGGTCATTTTGAGTTTCTGGCACAGGCTACTTGTTTATCCCTTTACTAAAGAGCATTCCTTTCTTACCGGGGAGGGTTCTTATCATGTATAGCTCTGGGAGGGGCATTCTTTGGACAATAAGGAAGAAAAATGACTGAGTCTGATCAGCTAAATCAACCCTGGGGACATGGTGGACACACTGTGTCAGGGCACCCTGATATCCCCACTTCATACAGGAAATATTTCTTAGGCCTAAACCAAAGTCCACTGAGGCAGTGCCAGGAATCTCACTAAATGTACTGATAGCACCATATCCTCATCTTGCCTCCGGAATGCTATATTTATTTTAGCTTAGAAGGTGGCTTCAGGGTCTGAATTGCCTTGCTTGGTAGTTTCTGAGCAGCTAAGTCACTTCTGACACATGAGAGAGGGTTCTGGATGGTCAGAAATCAGCCCAGCCATCTAAAAAGCCTCTGACCAATTGCAGATTTTCTTGGTTAGTGAATCTATTCCTTGGGGTATATAGAAAAATTGGGGTAAGTGAAAAAGAAAGTTGAGAACCTTTTTTATTTTTTTGCCAAATTCCAGCTGCTCAGGAGATGTGTTAGTGATATAGGACAGAAGGACATATCAGGCTGGGTATGGTGGCTTATGCATGTAATCCTAGCACTCTGGGAGGCTGAGGTAGGAGGATCGCTCTCAAGGCCAGAACAAGAGCAAGACCTTGTCTCTACAGGCTCTCTTTGAGACGAGCATGAGCAAAAGCAACACCCTGTCTCTACAGAAAATGGAAAACTTAGCCAAACATTGTGGCATGTGCCTTTTGTCCCAGTTACACTTGAGGCTGAGACAGGAGGATTGTTTGAGCCAGGAGTTTGAGGTTGCTGTGAAGTATGATGATGCCACTGCACTCTAGCCAGGGCAAAAGAGCAAGACTCTGTCTTAAAAACAACAACAAAAAAAGTTTTCAAAATATTTTGCTTGTTGAGAAATAACCAATGGTGCAAAAGCCCATTATATTCTTGTAGGGCCTGCTGGAAATTACAAGGTCACTAGAGATGATTTTCACTCCAAACTGCCTGTATGGCTTTTAGCAGTTAGAGGTTTTTGTCACCCTCATGTGGATATGATTATAGAAAGATAGGTGGTTTCTTAGAGTAATTCCTCCATCAGGGTGCAGCCACCCTGACAAAGGAAGAAAGCATCTGATATGTGAGCAGGTGTTTATGGCATTGACATGGCAGTGAGAATTGTGGCCTGAGTTCTTTCTTCTCAGGGTTACTTAACCCAAAGAAGGAGGATTTTGAAGAAGGAGAGAAAGAGGGCTCCCCCAGAAATCAGTAGCCAGATCTTTTTGTTTGTTTGTTTGAGACAGTCTCACTATGTTGCCCTCTGTAGAGTGCAGTGGCATCACAGCTCACAGCAACCTCCAACTATTGAGCTTAAGCAATCCTCTTGCTTCAGCCTCCCAAGTAGCTGGGACTACAGGTGTCTGCCACAATACCTGGCTATTTTTGTTGTTGTTGTTGTTGTTGTTATTGTAGTTGCTATTGTTTGGCAGTCTGGGCTGGGTTTGAACCTGCTAACTGTGGTGTGTGTGGCTGGCACCCTAGCTGCTGAGCTACAGGTGCAGAGCCCGATAGCCAAATCTTAATGAGCTTTTTTCCTCCATCACCTTACTTTGGAGGCCTAGTTACATGGACATAATAAATGAAGGATTACTAAAGGAAGCGGGGATAGGGTTTGGGGAAGCTGTCCTGGAATGCAGTGGCCTTAGGTCTTTAATGTGGAATAGGTCTTCTTCATCTTTGTGTTCCCCTCAAGGCCTAGCACTTCTTAAATTTTCAGTCAATATTTGAGATATCTCCTATGATTTATAAGTTTATAGTATATTAGGTAGTGATGAAATCTGAAAATGTAGAGAAAATTTGAACAGCTTGTTTTTGAAATGAATGATTTGTAAAGTGTATTCTGATAGAGCTGCTATGAGAAAGTAATATGAAAATGTTTTCATCTGTTTAAATAGATTTAAACATGATATTAGAACCTAATAAAAATATTGCACGTAATGCTAAAATGTGGTGACGAGCTAACAACGCTGGAAACCCAGTTCCACTTACAGGAAGATACGTGCACAAGTTCTTGAATCCATGTTGGGAACAGTCAGAATAATTTTTATATTTAAGAAATGTAAATGTACAATGAATGTTCCATTTAGTAAGTCACCTAGTCATCAAGTTAAACTAAACCCATTGCTTTGTTTTACCTCCACCCCCTAGTCCAATAAAGAGTTTAATTATCAGTAACAATCTCAGCTTAGCGAACAAGAATGAGTTTGGATCTCTTTAGAAATTTTTCCATAATTATCGAAGGGTAGATAGCGGCAAACTCTTTTTTTCCTGCTTTTTCCCCCAAATTTTGAAGTCAATTATTGAATAAGCATAATTAATAGATCCACAGCCCTCTTTAAAATTAAGTCTTAAGGATTTATGTGAATGAGAATGACAGGATAGATCTGACATAAACATTTGTTTCATAAAAATAACTTTATAACCTAGGATGGGGTTTTGTGAGGGAAAAGTGCTATAATTTCTATTTGGCTAAAAAAAAAAAGTTAGACCTTCTAATAATTTGAACAGAATCTAATTCTATTGAGAATATTTCAGAAAAGTTTATATAATTATTCTAAATATGTTAAAAGATTTAAACTTATAGAAAAATATTAGCAAAGAGTAAATTGTAACTTGAACTTGCAGTAAAGTCACAAATGTACAGAGGGCCAACGTAATGGAAGCAATTATTCATCTGGGTGTAGAAATTATAGAAGGTCCAGCAAGAAGAGAGGTAGTTGCCCTGAGTTACGCCAAGAACAGGGCTTCTCCTTGCTATTTCCTCAACAGAAATAAAATTTGAGATTGAGGGGAAGGAGAGAGTTGGAGTTTGGGAGAATCCAAACTAAACCATTTTCATGGATTCTTAATACCTTTAACAATTTTACTGTTGAACCTTAGATACTGGCAGAAGAAAAGCATCAGAAAGAAAACAGGATGGAAGAAAAACTGGGTAATGGTGCTGTCTTTGCATGGAGTTTGTAGCCTCACAGGGTCCAGGGTCTTCTGGTCCACTCAGAGCCATGCCCACACCATTTCCTAAGTGGGTCAACACCTGCATTGCGACAATCTGGGTAATTGGAAAGAACAGTGTACTAGGGGTTAAAACAGTAGCCCATGTTTTTTGTCTCTGCTGCTTATGGCTGAGTGACTTTGGATAAATCATTTAACCTGAGTTATCTCCCTCGACCCCTTTTTTTTTCTTGTTTGAGACAGAGTCTCTTTATCTCATGCTAGAGTGCTGTGGCATCAGCCTAGCTCACAGCAGCTTCAAACTCCTGAGTTCAAGTGACCGTTCTGCCTCAGCTTTTTTTCCCTCCCTCACTTTTATAAAGAAATAACTCTTGCCGTTTGTGAGAATTGTATTAGATAATCTGTGTCTATAGTTTTTAAAAAAATATTCTTTTAGACTATTCTTAAAGAATAAACCAGACCTATGATCATTAAGAGTTAGAACACAAAATAGTACTCGCCAGCATTGAGTTACTGATCAACTCTTTTGCTTTTTTTAATCTTCAGAAAATGAATTCTCTTTAGAAAATAACCTGTTTCTTGGGTTTTACTCATTGACCGTGTGCCACTTTGTTCTGCTTGCCCTTGTCTACTTCTAAGAGTGTCAGATGTAAATAAATGTAGGAGAAAAAAAGGAAAACGGAATGCCAGTTTTTATTTTGTAACATACAGAAAAGAGAATACATTGGTTAATTTAGTAGAAATAAAGATGAACTTACAGATGAAAAATACTGTTCGATTATTTCCTTCTCTTTCTCCACTATTACAGCTTGAGTAAAAGCAAAAGGAATCCACAACAGCTTATTAGTTCCACGGCCCCCACTTCTGTCCTGTAATGAAGCAGGGTGGAGGAAGGGGAAGAAAACCATA